GTTACTCGGGTAGGCGACGGGACCTAATTTCGACGATCGGTCACGTGAGGCCGTGACCGATTTCGAGGCTCACAATAGTTAGTATTTAACCTACTGCACATATAATCTAATTTAAAGTTGCAAATAAAACTTATAAAGTTAAAAAAACTTATGACGAAAGCAGTTTCATCTGCAACTCGATCAGAAAATTCATCTTCCGTTCCTGGTTTTGCGTGACAACGTCGCGCAGCTACTTATTTAGAGATGGGCATTCATGAGATATCATGCGCATGAATACCCATCTTTAGAAACGTTACGTTCTCAACAAGTATTTTAAACTGTATAAATAAGTTTCCCGGGAAATTGGTTTACATCAGTCAATCAGACGAATATCTGCCTATGATCATTGGTGTTAAAATCAGCATTATTGATGGAAGCTCTTCCTTACGATGGTGACAGTATAAAAAACAGAATAAAGCTCAATAACAGTAAGCAGGTTAGTAAAACAACAAATGGTTTAATTCTTAAGTGTACGCTTTGAAAATAGATAGTTTGAATTATTGACGAATTTAGTTAGGCGAAATTTTATAAACCAGTATAATAACAAGCCCGATTTAGTGAAGCAGAAAATTTATGATATAAATGTTTCAAAAATCATAAACAAAAAAACAGGTAAAAACAAGAATAATTGATCACAAAACATCTAATTTTATCATGTGTCAATAGACAAAAAGCCTCATAGAGTATAAATATAAAGATCTCAAGATTGAGGCACGAGATTAGATCAACCAATCGGATAAAAAAAAGACACGCCACTTAACTTGCTCGTAAACCATACTCGTCGTATTTCATACTCTATTCCTGGTAAATATATTGGTCGATTTATGAAATTATACTAAAGAATATAAAACTTGATGTTTTCATCTTAATACTTTTTGATTTACTATTTATTTTTAAAAATTTAGTCATGAATAAATTTATTAAAATAATTATAATAGACCAAAAATTATAAAATCAATTTGCTAGAGTATATGATAAAACATGGTACAGTTTGTTGACTATAATACAATAATAGAATAGCGTATTAAATGCATCACACTACAAGAAGTTAAATTAACCAGTAGGGCAAAAGTTATTCAAAGTAAAAAATAGCAAATTATTTCTATTTTAGTAACTTTCATAAAATCGCCCCATATAAAATAAATAAATGGATTAATGAATTATATTTATTAAATTATTTATCAAATTATTTATAAATTTAGTTATATTACGTAAAAAAAAGATAAATTAAAATCTCTTAATTATTTGGTAAACACGTATTAAATCTAATTATTTATTAAAATGAAGAGAATTATCTAACATATATTAAAGCAATTATTGAATTAAATTTTAATTAATTAAATTAGCAGCCTCAACCCACAACAAACTTGGATCTCTGATATTGTTTTCATCATAAAATAATCTGTGATCTGCAGGTCTAAAATCGAATTCTAGCACTGTATCAGGATTTTTAAAACTATATGCTTCACCGAAAGTAAAGGTCAAATCAAAAAATGCATAATGAGAATCTAAAGCAGGTAAATCAGATATGCCAAATTCGGTAAGAATTCCAAAAATTGAACTACTGTCAAAAACTAATCCTCCGGGGAATGAAGCAAAAGATAACGTTTGATTTGCAAATCCTCCTACAGAAACAGTGGGTACTTGGCCAACTTCTTGAAGACATTGAGAAATCAGGGTAGCGGAGGAGCCAGAAGCTCCATTTGAAAGAATTATCATATTTTTAGTATCCCAAGGTAAATCAATTTGTTTAGGCAACTTGCGAAGAGTGAATTTTGTGGAATAACTAGATTGACTACCGCCTCTTTCATATTTTTTGGATCCTATGAATTCTTCGGAAGAATTAAAAGGGTTTCCAGTTTCAAAGTTAATGAATGCAGAAAAAGGATTTTCTTTTGATTTGAAAGATGAAGTTATAAATTTTTTCATTATATCAGATTCAACGTTCATGTCATCAGGAAATAATGTATGATTAAAAGAGTTAGAAGGTAATATGATTGAATTGATAAACTGAGCAAAATTAATCAAACCACCAGGATTATTTGATAAATCAATAACAAGCTATTAAAAAAAGAATAAGTTATCATTAAAATACATAAATAAATAAATATATACATTATAATGTAGAAAATACCTTTTTAATTGAAGAATCATCAGCCAATTTTTTAAATCCAGCTAACGTTTCTTCAAAATTTGCTACCTCGTCAATTAAGACTACAATACCAAAATCAGAACCGATAGATTTATAAAATTTTACGTCAATAGCATCATGCACTAGGATGGCTTTACTTAATGTAGCTGAAGATTCAGATATTCTATTAGATAATACATCTTTTAATTTGGGATGATAAATGTATGGCAAAATTTCAAGTCTTTTTATGTCGTGGGATTCTTTGTACTTGGTACGTTCATTTCCACTACTTAAGCAAACATCTTGATAGAAAGATTTCTTTCCTTCTTTAAATGCTAAAAATGTAACGAACCATTCCCTCGTAACATTTTTAACCTTCTCATTTGGGCAATTTAAAGTGTACGTGATACTATCAGTTTCAGGAAAATCTACTCGAACAGTAAATTCACTTCCAAGTATCCATGGTTTACCATCTACTAGAGATATAGAAGTTAATGCATTATTTAAACGAACGCCAAGATCACGTGAGATAAAACTATGATTATTGGCAAAGTTTTTGATTGCATCAAAAGCGGGGACAGAATCGATAGAAGTCACTTCACAATCAATATTCGTAGGATCAACTAAATCGTCAAAAACCTTTATGATCTATTACGTTTATCACATTCGAACAATATAATTAGAAAATTTTAATTAATATTACAATAATATAATGTAATCAAAATCATTAATATTAATATTAACCTGATTTCCTTGTTTATCAAGTACGGAATATAAATGAAACTTTTGGTCATATAAAAAAGCACCATAGCAAGAAGGAATAAGTTGCGTATGTGCATCTCGCAATTTTTTATAAGTATTTCTTAGGGATATCTAGATTATCAAATAAAGATAAAATAATATATCTCAATAAATCTGTAGTTCCAATAAGAGTATCGGATATTTAATGATTAAAAATTGAATACCATGAATTCAAGTTCCGTTTTAGGATTACTCTCGATAATTTTATCTAATTCTTTGATTATATCTACTGGTTCAAATGTAAATCCAGGTTTTGCTTGCTCTCTGGCTTGATTAAAGAACACGTAGAAAGCAGAGGTGTACTTTTTTAACAAATCGACAGTCTAATTTTAATAATAAATATCAAAATAGCAATTAATAGAATAATTTAATTACAAAGATTCATGATTCATTATTTAAATTTTTGCCTTTTTTGCTATAGCTGCATCATACGGGAAACTAGTCAAGCAATTTTTTACATCATTGTATTTTGGATTCGCTGTTGTTATAACTGGGGCACATGGATCTTTTTTATGAGGACGAGAATTAACGGATGAAATTACAGAGAAAAGCAAGAAAAGAGATATTAGGAAATATGAAAGAGATCCGTAAGAAGTCATCTTTTACTTTATGCTCATAATAAATCGGTTGATAATTATTAGCATACTATTCTGGCATTTTAACATTTTTATACTAGATTTTTTTATAGAGAATTGGAACCAGATCACATTTTCCTAGTTATTATTCTCAATTTGCTTTAATAAGCTTACTAGCGTATAACCCGTCGCGTTGCTCCGATTTTAAAGCATCTATATAAAATATAGAATAGGTAGATAAACATTATGAAGTAAACTTTATGAGATAAATCATAAAGAAACACCGAATGTTCTATATGCCATTGATCTACCCGAAGTAATAAAGTAATAAAAGTAAGAAAAGTAAGATTTCTCTTACTTTTCATATAACCAATTACTCAGAACCTAAATGTGACGATCGATCATGTGTCATGTGTAACGTGATAACTGTGGTACCAATTCTGGTGTGTAATACTAATTACAATCATGCATTATGATCAGCATAAAACTGACCAATCAGAATTGATTTTTGTCTCCTAGTGTTTATCTCATAAGGTTTATCTCATAATGTTTATCTACCCATTCTATACTAGCTGAAAACCCGTGCTTTGCACAGGTGCACATGTAGTCTTTTCCCTCTATAATCACAACCTTGGTTTTAAGAATTTAATGCTTATAAAGAGGTTGTGCTTATATAGAGGTTAAATTTTATAAGTATTATATATACTGTTATTAGTTTTACAAAAAATATTATAATGTATATAAATAAGTTACATGGGTCTAATTATAAAGGTAGCCAATCAGATCACAGTTTTATCTCATATTGTTTATCTCATAATGTTTATCTCATAGTGTTTATCTACCTGTTGCAAATTATATAATAGATTATATATAGATATGGTCTGTCATTTATTCATGATCTTCTCTAAAACTCTCATTTTAATCGTAATTATGATTAAAAAAAATCACAGAATTTGTTTGCTTAATCGCGATTATGAATAAAAATCATAAATTATATAAGATTGATTTTCATAAATATTGAAAAGATAAACGTGTATATATTTTATTTCTTTCTTGGAAGTCAGATTTATCATTTTTATAAATATATAAAATGTATGAAGTAAACAGAAGTTCTCACTTTACTTTATACGATACTTAACCGACATCACAGTGTTAGGATTCACATTTTATTAATTTAAGTTATATGTTTTTAGCAAATTGTCATCCTATATAGTGTCGAATCGGGAAAATAACTTTCGGGAAATCAACCGATTAATTTGTGATAGTAGGTGTTTATCATTAGCCTAACCTAATTTTTATCATATACTTAATTTTGCTGTAGAAGGCACAAAGCGCATAAGGGCACCGCTTAGATTTTTCCTTTTTATATTTAATTCAATGCTTACAAGTCACCATAATGCGAACCGAAAACATTAATAGAAAAATTCCAAAACTCATAATAAGTTCCGAACAATTCCCATGCGCATGATGTGCATAATGCGCAAAAATAATAATCTGATTTACGTGTTAATTTGTGACTATAACATTAATTTTCACATTACATTGAATGAGTTAAATAAGAACTAAAGTTAATATAAAATTATGTAAGTATTCAATTTAGTATTTCCGAAGATTTTCCGAAGACAAATCAATTCAACCAATTTTTACCTTTTTTATAATTTCATGCAGGTCTTTACATAAAAAGAAACTCTTTTAAAATTACAATATGAGTTCCGAAGCCCGGTCGATTATAAATGGAGATCGATTCGCAAGATCACTTACTAAATTTTAAAATATATGATTTTGAGATAATCCGCTAAACTTTTTCTTCTATGAAAATCCGATATATAATAAGCTTAAAATTATTAATGATCCGATTTCAATTGGTATTTAATCTGATGATTTTTATGGTAATTATTATATATAAATAGGCTTCTTTTTTGTAGCAAATCTAGTTTAAATTGCTTAAAGTAATCCTAATGCTTACAAAAAAGTTTCATTATCCGGCAAGCGCATATGCTCATGAATTTATTTGGTTATTTTTTTCACATGCTACAATTTAATCATGTTCATGGAATTAAAATTTATCATAGCTGAAGGCTATGTAACACAGTGTTGGCAAATGACAATATCTTAAAGTCATATAATATGTTATATGATACAGAATCACATAAATAATATACCATATGATATAAAACATGACATATTATTAGTATATAACATATAATATTTTTGCATTTCTGAAATCTGTGACAGGTTAGCTGATAACGTGATGTACTATTTAGGACCATCAGTCTTTTATTAAGAAATTTAAATATCGATTTCTATGCATATTATGAAATTAATTCCAATGTTACTATCACTACAAGTAAATAATACTGAAATATTCGAATCTCTAATGTAATATCTAATATATGCTATATAATTGTTGAGCTTTTTTTACAATTTTTTTCACGCAGTTTAACAAATTACTTGACCCGGATTTTTCAACCATTATATTTATACGTTAGTTTGGCTGGTTATTGGATATATTTAAACTTAATTTATGTACTTTTTTGCGGCTGGAATAAGTTTAAGAATCAGTATTTTCATTTTCTTTGTGAAAGCAGAGATCTTCTGCCTTACCTGAACTCTGATTCGCGTGCTACGCTTAACACGAATCATCGTTCTGAGAAAATTTTTATATATTCATTGTGGTTTTGTCTTCATATCTTTTGTATATTTCAAATGCAAATATATTGAGAAATTTGTGTAGATGTTAAATGAACTTCCACGAATTGAATAAAAGAAAAAAAAATTAGGGTTGATTATGCGTTATCAATTATATTTAGTTGACTATAGTGTTAAAATTTTATTATTGATTTTGGAAAAAGGAAATATTTAAAAACTTTTCTTTTTTTGAATAGTAATAATTTTGCATAATGATTTGTTATACGCATAATCAGGATCAATTTTTATGCCACCGTGATAAAGCCAGACTAACCTGTCACAGATTTCAGAAATGCCTTATTATTAATATATATGACATACCATATGATATTAATTCATATAAGTCATATAAGCCATATGACATCATCGTCCAACACTGATGTAACATATGAGTTAACCTTGTAAATTTATCAAAATCCATAAAATAATTATTTATTGCACGGTGTCTGACGTACAATCCCGTAAATGAAAAAAGCACGAGTTTTTACTGAAGACTCGTGCAATAAGTTTAAATATTAAAGATTATTCTTTACAACATGCCTCTAGCCCAGGTTTGAACCCGGTTCAAAATATACCTGACCTCTATAGTTGCATTAAAAAGTTTGTTCTATGTTACGAAATTTAAGTGAAATAGTGATGGCGCAAACATTTGGCAGTCCCGTGACTAATTAAACAACAACGATGTCAATGAGATTCTAATTTTCATCTAAAAATTAATGGTTGCATTATCGTTATTGCGCTTTGCAAAAAAGTGTAACACTACAATTTTCGTGACAACGATAATTGGAAATTTTGGAAATTCTAAATAGTCTATCAATCATATATTCAATCAGTAATATTTCTATCTATTTTGAAGTCTGTAAAATTCTCTTAGAATCAAAAAATCGCCCAATTTCCTGTGATTTTACATGTTATCATGATCTGCGAGGGCCACACTTTTTTGCAAAGTGCAATAATATTAAGCAGAAAGAATATATCTAAATTTTTGTGCCGAAATCTTTTATTTAATAACAAAATCCTGATTTCCTTTGCGAATTGTGAGTTTTTTGTGATACTTTAATTTTATTACTTCGCATTTGTATGTTACACGCTGATCTTACAGGGACCGCAAAATTTTTGCGCCATCACTGTTTCACTCAAAATTTTCACAGTAAGTAAAGATGAAAAAAAAAACAATTTTAAACACTTTTTCATCAATTTAAACCATATGATGATGAAGTCCGTATAGTTAAAATTGGTTTTAAATATATTAAGAACATAAAAACATTTTCCACCATATCAAAATTGTGGTCAGGCGTGTTACATATTACATATTACTGCAACGCACATAAATTTACCAGAAACGGAGTGATGAAATCACGAAGTATATGGCTTATAAGGTGCAATAAGTGGTATCCGTCCGCGCAATCTTAAGTTTGATTGCTACGCATGATTTATTCATCAAATGGGTGCTGCCAAGTGAAAACCTGACATTCTAAAAATAGATTTTTACGAACAACGGAATACGGAATTTAAATGATACTACTATGTGATCAAAAAAAACAGTATAATTCATTATTCTAGTCAGATTAGTTAAAACTCCGCATTCCGTTGTCCATAGAAATCTATTTTTAGAATGTCAGGTTTTCACTTGGCGGCACCCAAATTTTGGCCCTTTTTCCCACATTAATTCATCACGCATTATTTTTCACACATGAATTCATCACGTATATTGTGAGCTGTGCAAACGTGATCCCGGAAACAGTAAAAATTAACGGCTATGTTAATCATCTACCTAATATAGGTTTTCCGGGATTAAAGGTTCTAAAAGTCATTTAAAACTATTAGTGGGTATAAAGGTAATAAGAGTAATAATGGGAATAAAGAAAAACTATAATTAATGGGTTATATAATAAGTAAGGGTTTTGAGTCATATAGGACATTAAAGGGGCATCTGACGGATAATAAGTTTAATACCTTTAGGAGGGCATATACCAGGAACGGAGTGAAACAAAGTGTATTGTTATACGGAAAGTGAAATGTTGTGTGCAAATACGGGCTTCTGATTCGACATTGTTTCAAATGGCTTGATATCCTGATTCATATCTTGTTTATCTGGCACGTGTTATATATGCAGGCTTGTGGGCTTATACTTATTTCAGCAAGTGATACAAGCCCAAAAAGAGGGGTTGTCTAAAGCAACTACCCCAGCGTACCAAGTAAAAATGTTCGGACACGTGATTGATCGACAATCAAATTAACCAATAAAAACGCTTTATTAAAGTTATAATTAACATTAAACAATTTTCTATAAAATGTCTTACATATTGTTACTATTATCAAAGGAGATATGTCTTTACATATTGCTACTACTATCAAAGGAGATAGTTACTTTAAAGTAGATAAGTAAAAAGATTGTGAATTGAAATAATTGGTCTACATTAACTTAACATTGTACTTTATAGCAATTAAATTTCCTGAACTTATAGCAAATTATAAGCTAGTGCCTTCAAAAAGACTGATTTAGTAATAAATGTGTTGCTTTTTTAACTTATATAAAGAAATTATATTCCCAATTACTATATGAATAGTTTGTATGATCAGATAGTATTAAGAATTTGAATTTTTAGTTGCTCAATATATTAAAACATTAATTTTTATTATTGTATATAATTTTAAACATAATTTGTATTTATATACTTACTCATTTTATGTATTTATTACATAATTAGATCAATTGGTTTAATAATAGTTTAATTGTTCAATCATGTTTTAATTATTAGTAATTATAAGTTTTATATCATTATTTTGCATATAACTTAATTGAATCATATAAGAATTATAATTATATTCAATATAAAAATCTTTTTTTAATATTTAAATATATAATAAATATAAAAAAATCAAGTTAATATATAAAGAATAAGATAAGTAATATTAACAATTTTTGTAATCAATTATTAGTTATGTTTTATTAAAACTAAAAATTTTTAAAAATTTATTATATATTAGCAAATTATTATTTTATATACTAAATATAAATAAAAGATTTTATATATAATTGTCTATATTAATTACTAACTTATAACTATATACAATTTTATTTATATTATATTGTTTGAATTAATTTATATTTTTGTTTTGTAGTTTGTTTATATTATTCTACTTAGACAATATAGTTAATGAATTACTAACTTTTGCTATATTAATAAATTATATTTAATTAGATTATATTACTGCTAAATTATATAAATTGAAAAAATTATTTTAAGAGATGTTTTTATTCTTTTTAACCAATATTAAATATAAATAATATGATACTGAAATATTATAATTAATCATATAAAAAATATATAAAATGTAACAAGTTACATTTGTGATTAAAAACAGTATTTTGAATGCAAAAGAGTAGAGAGAAAGAATATAAAAATAAATTATATATCTTTAAAAAAATAGAACATTAATGAAAAAGTTAAATAAGTAATTATAAATAATATTAGATAGTCTTAAAGTAATAATAAATATGAAGTCATACTTGTAAACAACAACTTTAGTATTATAAATAAAGGCCAAAATAGCTCTTAAAAGTAACAGTGCTCTGTTTGCATTATTAAATAATAAGTTATACAAATACCTTATATTACTCATCATAAACACTAATACTAATATCAATATAAACTCTGTAAACTTCAATACATTATTGTTCTTTAAAGTTCTTAAACACATAACTTATCTGACTTGTCTTTGTAAACCCAAAGTAACTAAAAGACTTAATTAGCTACTAGCCAAATCTAATATACTCTTTCAAAAAGATTACTTATCATTAGTTGCAAAAGAATTTAGTTTGTAAGTAACTGAGTTACAAAATCTGTCTATAACAATAGTAAGGCAAAAACTAAATAATCTTTGTTACTAAAAGTTAAAGCATAGATATTTATTATAATTTACATATCTTAAACTATTATTTGAAATAAAATTATTCTTTAGAATGACCAAGTAATGCATTTTGTTTAAATAATAAATATATATTATTTTTCTCTTATTTATTTAGTTTATTTATTCCAAGTTCAGATAATGTAAAGTAATTTGCTAACTTTATTAAAAATAGAGTATAACAATAATTAACTACTCAAATTAATTTTAAGATATATTTCAGTATTTAAAAAATAACATTATTCAACTATGTAAATTAAAACTTATTAGTATACATATTAGATATAAAATATAATTAATTTAAAAAATAGATATTATGTGTATACTCTTTCCAAGTCTTTGCATAGTTCTTTACTTATAATAGGTTTTAATTTGTTCTACTATTGTATAAATTGATTAAAAGTTTTTTTTATACTTTTGCCCTATTTAATATTTTTTGTTTTTTTATATTTGTACAATAGGTTAAGTACCTTTGTTATTGTATTAATTAATTAATTAAAAAAGATATCTAAATCTTTTTTGATCAGATTATTTATATTAATTGTTGAAAAACCTATTATTACTGCATGCATTAAATTGATATCTTGGAGTTTTATTATTTCAATTAAGAATATGTATTGATTATTTTATTTAATTTAATTAAAGAATTGTAGAGACACTATTCTCTTTTTTTGATCAAGATGTTTATAAATAAAGAATTAGTTTATAAAATAATATAGACAGCTACATATCTACTATTCTGAATTAGTAATATAAAGTTTATTACTATCTTTAGAAATTCTGTTTACCAATCATTTCTAATTTAATTTTATTAATTTTATTTATTATGCCTTTTCTTATTCAAGTATAACTTGATTGAATTTATGTTTTTAATATATGATTACTTTTTTGTAAGAATATAAATAACAAAATCAAGTCTTAAACAGAAAAACTTATAAAAAAAATTCTGTTTAATTACTTTTTAGTATAACTCAATAAACATTTTGTTTTCAATACAGAAATTTTATTTTCATAACATGCTTTTATCTACAAAGTTTATCAATCAGCACAGTACCAGTCTTTTTAGAAATAAAGCTAAGAAAATGCAAAGAATTATGTTTATAAAAAAATTAATCTTTTTACTGATTTGTTTTTAAATTTGTAAACATGTTATTGTTGAGTTAGATGTTGTTATTAACAGATTAAATTAATATAGCTTCTTAAAACAAAAAATTGCACCTTTTTGAAATAGTAGTTGTGGAATAAAATTTTTGTCAATAAAAGAAAAATATTCATAAATGTTACTATACTTATAAGTAATTGTTTATAAAAAGCTAATAGATGTTAATTATGCTTTAATTGCCTTTTTTATAACTTTACTAATTACCATAACTTTATATATAATTAAAAACATAATAATAGTAGTAATTCTATTAACATTGGCCTTAGCAAAAGCAAAAAAAAACTAATTCTATTTTTATTAAAAAATAGGGTTTAAAATTATTTACTAACTTTCTGCTTTATATAATAATAGAATAAACATTTTAGGTTCTTTCTAATCTATTTTAACTAATAATTAATTTAAGATAATTTACTATAGTATTTAACAAAAAATAGATGAAAAATGACATATTGAGTATCTTTAAAGAATAATATTTTTAACTAAGTAATATAAATATAGTTTGAAATTTTAGTATAAAAATTCTCTTTTATGCACTTACAAAGTTTTTATTTTAATATTATTAATTATTTAAATAGAATAAAAATTATACAAATAACCTTTTGACAACAAAACTCTAATCTATATTTATAAAAAATTTATAAAAAAAATGGGTTAACATTTATTTATAACTTTAATATATTTTTATTTATATAAATCATTTTATTTTTTCTAACTACTATCTTTATCTTTTTTATAAACCAACTTTATTCTAATAGTATTTTATTTTTTTTACTGAACTTTCTTTTTTAGTAACAACAATTAACTTAACATATGACTATATATATATGTATAAAAAAAATTAAAATTACTGAGTCTTTTAAAGTTTTTGCAACTTTTTAACATTTTTATTTGCAACTCAAAATGTATATACCTGCATATAAGTCAGATTGCAAACCCTTACCACCAACTCTAATGATTTGTTAATAAGGTTTTATCTAGCTCTTTTTTAGTTTTATACCATTCATCATAGTCACACTAATCTCTAAATCTATTCATTTACCCACTGATCAAAACTTACTCTCTTTAATTTTATTTCTAATAATGTACAAACCTTGTTTTATTTCCCTCAAAACTTTAACCAATATGATTTATAAAAACTTTTTCAAAAACCTCTCCAACATCAAATATCTTCTTGGTAGTTTGTAAAATCATTTATTAATCCTTTTATCAAAAACAAACTCCACTTGCTTTACATTATTACCTACTTTTTTTTATATGAACCACTGCTCCCAACCTAACTTCAACATAACTAGCATGTTCACTTGCTTTACCTAACTGATTTTTGAAACTAAATCCTTTTCTCTCAACTTGCTTGCTGTCTTTGCTACTAACCTTTCTGTCATTACTTTCTTAGTTTCCACACTAGGCAGCATTTCCGCCTTACAAAGAACACATAACATATCTACTGTTAGTCTATCAAGACTATTCAAAAAACTTGTTTCCGCTACAAGATTCTCATCCAATAATTCATAAAAGAACTCGTTCATATTTCTATCCAGCAAAGGTTTCTCGTACAAACTCATAAAACGTTCCATTTTGATATTTGTATGTGACAGTTTATTTATTTTAAAATTTTTATTTTATTTTCACCAACCAAGCTAGACTTATTTGTCGAGCACAGCGAAGCAAAAAAGAAAACACAATGATTACAACGCGACTACTATAAATACTAATAAATAACACAAATAATGTGTAACCTTAACCCATTAGTGTATTACCACACGCCTCATCAACTAAATCAACTAATCTATCAGACTATAGTGATGTATTGTGTACGTCACTAAACCTGGTAATTATTTGGTTCGTGACAAAAGGGCTACACATGACTTTGTCAGAGTAGCCTTCATCATATTACAATATATATAAGTCATATACTGTTTTTAATAACCACATGCAATATTCATTCAACATGGCTTCTTTGTAACATGCTTAATAGCTACACGCAAATATTCATTTACCAACATGGTTCAGGTACATTTCTTTATATGAGCCACATACTGTGCTTAATAGACACACGCAAATATTTTCATTTACCGACATGATGTGCTACAACAGGTTGCGACGGTAGTAATTAAAGATCGTCCCAATTGTTTCCCAATGTTGTTAAAGCTTAGGCCTTAACTAGCTAATTCTAATGTTGTAATTAGTTACGCCAATTTTAGAGAAGATTCGTCCCGCTAGTAGTAATACAATTGTAACGTAATTGAAGCAGCACTACCACAAAAATGTCGGCACCTCTAATTATGCTATCTCACGTGCACAAGTTATTTTTTTTTATAAGTGATAGTGCTTAATATTTATCATTGTAATTTTAATGCGAAATTGTGCGATACCGTAATAGCTCTTCCAAACAAGAGAATGCTATAGAATTCCAAAAATATGATTTGTAATATTAAGAATTCATGAAGGTTGAGGACAATAATAGGCAGACGGCCTTGGAAATGAATGTAACATTTCACGCATGATTAACTAGTTAAGCAAAAAATCTAATACAATTATGCATGTCGAAGTATACGAGAATTTTCAGCTTAACAAAGTAAACACTATCATAATTATTACAGTTGCGGGTAGCTGAAAGGTTACTCTTTGGTGACGGTACATATTCTGGAGAGATATTCAGTTTTGTAATAATAATACTAATCTTTTACGTTTATTTACTTTCGGATCAGAGAATTATTAGTACCTGTAATCTGTTGTAATGTAATTTTCTAATTATTATATGTTTCTTATTGTTCAAACTATTTTATTCTAGGGAAATGTTGAATTTAAAAAGTAATTTCTCTCACAACGTTAATTTGCTGTAACAATTACTGTAATACATTATGTAAATTCTAACTTCCTGTGATATGTAATTATAGCTGATATGATTTTCTAATCCATATGTGCATTAATTAATAATTGCGATTAGTTGATTTGCTTATTATTAGGACTTAGCATTATTAAACGAATATTTGTAACATCTTATTTGTCTGTATTCATAAAATTAAACGTTATCTATTTGTAAAGTTATAACACTTCAATTTATTTTTTGCAGCCACTTTATAGTATTCAAACGCTTTTTCTTCATCAATATTAGTTCCAGTTCCAGTATTATAACAATCACCAAGTATCTGATACGCCATATCATAACCATTTCTAAGAGACTTCTGATACAAATCAAAGGCTTTCCTTTGATCTATAGCAGTTCCCTCCCCATATCTATAGCAGGATGCAAGATTATACAGTCCAACAGCCGATCCACCTTTAGCAGCTTTTTGAAAATATTCAAATGCTTTCTTATAATTAATCGGAGTCTCCATACCTAATTTGTAACAAGAACCAAGACTATTGTATCCACAAACACATCCACCTTCAGCAGATTTTTTATATAATTCAAAAGCCTTTTTTTTATTAATTACTGTTCCTTCACCATGTTCATAACAATAACCAAGATTATTTTGGGCCAAAATAAAACCTTGATTAGCAGCCTTTTGATAACATTTGAATGCTTTTTCATAATTAATATCAGTTGCAACGCCTTGATGATAGTAATAACCAAGGCCATTATAAGCCACTACATAGCCATTTTTGGCAGACTTGTGAGCAAATTCAAAGGCTTTTTCTTCATCCTTTGCGACCCATTTTCCACGATAATAGCAATCTGAGAGAATACTTTGAACTAAACAATTATTTTGATTATCAAAACACCAATGAATAAAATCCCCTGGGCCTTTCTGTTCTTTTGACAAAAGTAGTTCCATTTGATTGAGAATTACCGATGCAGTTTCGCCTTTCATTCTTTCCCTATGATAGAGTCTACATAATTTGTTGCAGGTTTTATCATTATTTGGAATTAACTTTTTAGTATACCTATAATAATAATTATTAAGTTAAAGTAAATTTTATTATTATGTAATAATTTAGACATTTAACCCCATAATCAATTTTCATTATTACTTACATTTTTTTAAATTTTTGGATTAAAGTTTTTTTGACCATTTTTTTACTATAAAATTTTTCGTGTTAAGTTAGCTTTCTATACAAATGATAAATTATCAAATCTCATATTCATTTTCTTGCAAATTTTAAAATGCTAGTGTTCACCTATTAATTTCTTTTATAGCAAAAGAATTCAGATGGCGTTATCTGGCTAATTTGATAACTTTGGATGTTGCAGCTATACATGCATGTGTATGTGCGTACGTATATAAATTGTGCCACTCATATACAGTAGCTTTATTACATCTTACGTATCACAAACTTATATACAATTTTTAGAAAAAAGCATTTTTGTAAATATTGATCTGAGGAAGTACTATTGTCACAGGGTGCAAGTTCATCCATGTCCTATGCAAGGTAATCGTTTTCCAAACAATAACTATTGCTATGGTTGCTTTAAAAGGAATGGTATGATTATTGGTTAAATTATGCGTCATGCTATTTTTTTTTCATTAATGCAACATTATCTATATTACAGTACTATGTGTCACGTCATTTTTTTTTACTAACACAATAGTATCACTATAATTTTATGCGTCACGCTATTTTTTTTTCAACTAATGCAGCAGTATCTCTGCAAAATTTCGTGAATATGCAGGCCATTTCTTTCTGCTAAGCAGAGGTCTTTTGTAATTATTTCACTATTTTACAAATATGGATCGTTATTTAATATATGCATAGCTTATTTGCTGCGTGTCTTGTGATACAACACAAAAAAGGAAAAATTGAACTGTCGGAGAGTGCCTGAACCAAAAATTAAATTAAATTCATGTATAGTTGTGAATTTTTAAAATCCTACCCCTAAGTTTCTAATTTCACATGCTTTGCTTATTTAAAGTTTCCTTTTCTGAATTTGAATCAATCACGCAAATAAATATCTCCTCTACAAATAAATATGCCTAACCTGATAATATATTCGCATGCTACATACAGAAGAAATTGTTTATCTAAGTAATTAAAATAATTTATTCAAGTTAATAAAGATTTACTGTTTAATTCATTTTATTCACATTAAGGAGTATAAAAAATATTTATTAATCTAAATCATTACAGTACAGTGCTGCATATAGTACCTCTTGAAATAGTATCCCCTTCAAATAGCATCGGGGTACTATTCAATAGTAAATTCTAACATTTAAGAAAAGTTTCCCAGTATTAATCAGTAGCCGAATTAATGATCCTGTTATGTGATCAACTGGTGTTATTAAATATTCTTTTGTAAAAGACTAAAGTACTATATTATTTAATTTAATTTATTCATATTAAGAAGCAGATATAAAGCAACACAATTTTTTTTTTACCTCTTTCCACTATTCTTAAGGTCTTTAGACACCTTAGGAACTCTCAGATCGTTAAGTTATAATTCTGCAGAGAACATTGGAAGGCCGGACCGACTCTGTATTTATCACTGTGTTTATGAGATAGCTCAAGCTCTGGTATAGCTGTTTCATAAATTTTGGAACATCATGCAAAAAATTGACGAGCCGAATATTTGTCTACTCGATAAGTCCTGATTTGGCCGTGACAATTGCCGAAATCACGAATCGGCAAATATTCAGTCCGTCAATTTTTTGTCTGATGTTCCAGAATTTATGAAAACAGCTGTAAGTCCGTTATATGACGTCCTGGGTCCCTGGCTCCACGGTGTAGGACCTACGCTCTAGGTGCGCAGTTCCCTAGCCTCATATGATTCACAAGTCGGATCGCCCTTTTGATGTTCTTTCTATTAATCCTTTGCTGGGTCTTTCTCAATGTCAGTGTCATTTATTGACGCTGACAGTCCTAAAATCTGCGAGTCTGTCGCTTGAGCGAAGATAATTTCGTATACCGATATTTGGGATAGTTTGGGTCTAAAAAGGCGTGTTAGATTTTGCTGAGAGTTTAAGCAGGTGTCGGGATGGTTATGGGCAGTTTGTAGTCTTAGTAACTACTGGGCGTGTGTACACGTTTTATTTGTAATAGATTTAGGTTAAGTTTTTATGTTTTATTCGAGACACATGTAGGAGTATCCTCTATGTTACTGAAATCATCAATACAGACACACCAGTATTATTAAAATTCGCCAATTATCCTAATTGCCCAGATCCATCCGTTTCGACTTTTCTGGAGTTTCTGGCCGACATGCCCTAATTTGGCCTTATCTTCTCCAGTATCGCAGTCAAATTTTCACTTTCACGTGACAGTGTTTAAAAATCTTTAAATTCGTTTAAGTCAGGGCTAGCGTTTATAATAGGGCTAGGTTTTAATGGGGTAATAGTAAAGTCACTCGAGGAATCGCTTACTTCTCAAAAACTTGCATAAGAAACCACCTTTTACGCTTTAACACAAATTTTTGAAAAACGAAGATCTTCTTGCTCGTGTAACGTTACATTACAACGAGACTCGCTATTGGATGATCATCACGTGAATGTGAAAATTTGACGCCGGACCGTCTACGGACACGTACTGATTCACGTGATTTGTACGTACCTATTATAAATCTAGAACCTGTCATGTGTTAAAAATACTTACCCTAAAGTTAGGGTACGTGCAAGTCATATGAATTGGTACGTGTCCGTAGATCGTCCCCAAAAACATCGAATAATCAGGCGCTATATTTGTGTAACGTGAGATCGAAGGCTTTTTCAGGTAACTCAAATATTCAAATATTGCCTAGAAAATCACTTTTTACGTTCTAATAAAAAAATTCATTACCAAATTTTACCATACGATCTGTATACCAACATTTATCCTAGCCCTAACGCTAGTCAAATCTCACGTGCTTTTAGCGAAATAACATCAAATTTCTTTTTTGGGAGGATGGCTAAAGCTAGGTGTGTATATATATATTTGATTATTTGATTAAAATTAGGGTAGAGATTAGTTAGGGGTTAGGGCTAGGACATGTTCTATAAGTAAAATCATCTTCTCGACATTTTTTATTAATGCCCCAGGACAGGTTTAGATACCTGTTTCTTGAATTATTGGCGTTTTTTACTTTTTTTTCTTTGTTTTTTTCTCGTCGGGTGACCACATGAGTACCTGCCAACTACCCCAGTGTACCCAGTAATAATGTTCGGTCATTTTATAGACCAGTCAATCAGATCACAGTACTAAATTTGTATCGGATCAGATTTGCGTAAAAATTGCTATTATATGATTACCCGAAATACAGAAATATAGTAAATTATCCAATAGCCCAGATAGGTAGAGATGTTTTCAACGCATCCAATCTCAATCAAAAAATTACTATTAACAGCAAATATAAATATTTTTTTCTGTAATAAATCTTTGTCAAGGTTTTATTAGTGTCAGAGGTAAAACCGACACCTCATAGAACCTTCGAAATGGACGTCATTGAGGCATACTTACCTAATTAGAGGTGCCCATGACGATCCATCTGAAACATGTTCTCCCGGCCCCTAAGAAGCTATATGAAAGTACACAAGCCTCCATGCGAGACCCCACCACCCCCTCCAATTAAAGTAAGGTCGACCTGGACCAACCTGTTGCGCTGGGAATGGACGTTGACTCCACCTACTTTACTTGGGTTAGGTGTGAGGCAATGTTAAGAGGGTGCAATTGAAGACAATATGATGGGTTCTGGCCCCGGGATAGTGAAACTGAAACATTTCTCATCGGTTCTATGAAAGCCGTGAGAAATGTTAAAATAACGAAAGGCTGTGTGGAAGGGGTTAAAGGTTATAACAAATAAAGTTGAGAAGTGTTGGGAATAATGAGAAGAGTCGTGGTCTTGTGCGGGCTCTTCTCGCGGTGAATTCATTATAAAATGGTGAAATTTCTCCCTTCCTAGAGGAGAGTACAAAAGTATCGTCCAAGAGTTTAGAATAGTTCATAACCGCCCATAATAATATAATTGTATTGCCCCTACAAATATTAAAGTTATTAAAGCCTTTTTTTAACTTGTAAAATAAACCCACGTTCTTTTAAAATCGTAATATTTATCTTGTAATGCTCCTCTTCGATCGCCTCAACCAATGCCAAAGCGAAAAACTGCCTCTATATCTTTGAAGAATGTTACGCGGCATAACCATTTTTCAAGCGACAATCCGTCGCATTCGCCCATCTCTGAATTCGTCCATAAAACCCGTCACATTAGTTATATGAAGCATTTAGTACTGAGATTATATGTAGGTTCAACAAACAAAAATAGATTACACAGAGATTATTATCTCTTCGTGTGTAGACTAAGTGCAGGCAAATTTGCCTGCAAAAAGTTATATAACATTTTTTTAAAAATAAATTTTTAAAAATTTGCCAAAATTTTTATAAAATATAATCTTTTAGACTTTATTTTTATTTTTAAATTATAAATTGTAAAAATTAATTGTACTTTAAATAAATTATACTAATTTAAAATTCATTAATTTATATAAAATATAATTAAATAAATTTATTTTTTTATTTATTTATTTTTTATTATATATAATCCCCTATATTATTATTAAAATTTTTACTTTAAGATATATTAAATATAATATATTTAAAAATTTTATTTAAAATTATATTTATATATATGCGCATGTATATACATACGACTATCAAATGCATGATACATAAAATATAAATATTGGCTTCTATTATTGTTCATACCAATACTATATAATATATTAATTTATTTTTTAACATAAGTATGATATTTTTTAAAGCATAAAGGACGGGATATATCACAACAAAGTGCAACCAGTGTTCGAAATTAGTGTTCTCAGAGGTCTTATGAAAACACAAATTTGTGAGTGAGAACAGCTAAAAGCTGGTTTTTTATATTAGAGAACACTCAAAATTGACTCCAAAAATACTAAATAGAACATGAGAACACTAATTTAGTCTCAGATTTTGAACACTGTGTGCAACATTAATTTGCTGCACCAAATTTGACTTTGTGGCAGATTTTTTTTGTTTATTGTAATATTTTGATTATTACTAATATTTTTTGCTTCTTATCTGCACCAAACACATGCTACACAGTCTATTCTCCATTCTGGATAATGATCTATATCAGAAAGATAAGTAATTAGAAGTCTAAAATTTTTGCTTACAATTAAAGTTGAATTTTTATTTAACATTGCTTATTTATTGTTTTATTATTATTTAATGTATCATTAATAAAATCACATGCTAGTTGCAATCTAAATTGTCGATGCTCAAGAGTTTTATCTAAAAGAATAAAGTTTATTAATTAGTATAAAATCAATAATATTAGCATTAAAGTTTGGATAAAATAAATTAGACAATATATTATTTTTCTGGTAGATAATGTAAAAATTTACTATGCCAGTATCTATTAGCCAAAATAGTAATGTTATCCAAGTATGTGAAACAATAAGTTGACAATTATAATAAGATTGATATTGGTTAACAATATCAACTTCATTCATAAAATGATTATAATTATAAATAACTTTTGGAATTAAAATTTTTTTTTATATTTAATTACCAAAAACTTTTTGTACATTATTTGCATTTGAGCTTGTTTCTTGTAATCATTGTCATGAACTTAAAACTTTTTATTCATTACCTTTAATAACATAAACAGTTGAGAGTATATGAACAGGACCATTATCCATTTAAAAAATTACTAAAACATTATTTACTACTACTTTACTTAAATTATTTCAATTTAAATGTATAAATTTTTCAACTTTTAATTTCTTAGAAAACATTACAAAATTAGTTCATACTATGCCATAAGCATTATATCTTTTTATTTGTAAATAATTAAAAAAAGACACATTTGTAAAATAATTATCTATATAAACATTATATACTTGACTATTAGATAATTGTGTAACAAGATACAATACTAGTAATCTTGTTTTGTTAAGACCAGAAATATTTAGAATTTTTTATTATTTTCAACACATAATTCCAATACAAATATATAAGTATAACCTTTTTTACATAATAATATAATTTTGTAACCTTCAGAAATAGGTTTATTTTTTATTTTAAATATATATTTACTATGTTTAGAAAACTATACCATTATTTTATTAATCATAACATGTGAACCTGATATATATATTTGGTTACTAATATTTTTAATATGTGACATAAGTGGTTTAACCTTTTCAAACCAATGAAGTTTTTTAGAATTAATATCAAAAATATGTAAATAATATTTAATTTGTTGAAAATGTAATATTGATATTGTTTAAATAATATTATATTTAGAATATTTAGAATTAACTAACTAATAATCTGTCACTCTTAGCAACTTAATTACATTTATATATATAATGATTTCTAATCAAAATTTTAATTTATCTAATATTAAAGATAACCAAACATGTTCAACTATACCAGCATTTTTTGATTTTGTATATTCATTAGTATTAAAATTTTAATAAGAATGGATTATAAAAAAAATAATCTAATTAGTCTTTACAAAATAATATTATTGTTAGAAAATGCAGATGGCAATCTAACAAAACTTGAATAAAATAATATACTATGTTTTAAATAATTAAATTCAGGAGAAGCAGACAATTGTATGACTATTTTAGCTTTTTTTTCTGAAACTGTATTATTTACTTTTTTACTTCTGCAACCTTTTTTTCTATTTTTAACTTTTTCTTTATTGTTTTCTAGTAATATTATATTATTTGATTTTATTTACATTTTATTATTTAAATTAATTATACTTGTATCATTACTTAATTCAGCAATATCAACATTACTATTATAACTATCATCTTTAAACACCTCATCTGCTAAAAGTTTTTCAAGTGTTTGTAAAATAAATAAAACATCATAAAGATCTACCAAAATCAGTAGGTAATTTTTTATCTTCTTGCATCATAATAAACTATATAATAAACTTTTGCTTTGTAATAAAAATATTTTCAATACAAAACATCATTTTTTAAATGATTGCAAATAATTTGCAATTAAAAAAATGATCTGAAATTTATTTATTTTTTTTAAATAATTTGGAAGTAAAAAAAACTTATAAAATAAGTCTATTTTTAGAAACCAATGCTATGAGAATAAGTAAAAACAATGCTATAAGAATAAGTAAGAACAATGCTATAAGAATAATTAAATAAAATATTCAAAAATATAAACTTTATTAAAAATTTTTAGGTTTGATTAATGAAATGTGTAGTATAGTAATACATAATTAGTATATTTTTTAGTTGGTATAAATCATTCATAATGCATTTTGTACAATTGGTATTTTGGTATTATGTTATTTAAGTCTAGTCAAATTAAATAAGATATCTCTTGAAGAGACCTCTTCTATTTTATTTGTTGGTAATTACACTAAAATTAAATTTTGCAGACAAGTTTGCCTGCATAATGCATTAAGAGATAATAGAACCAGTTCAAATTAATATAACAATAATTATAATAATGTAATTATAAATTAATTTAATAGATATTAAAAGTCAAATGTTATGCAAATAGATAAAAATAAAAAATAAAAAGTAAAGATGTAATGACCTAGTAAAGTAATTAGGTTGTCAATTCTCTAAGTAATAAGTTGGGTATTCAAATCTCATTGATAGTAAAAAAATTTAGATAATTACCTATATAATATTCATATTATGACAACTGTTACTAATAATTAGATTAAAAATATTTGTAATAGTAGTTACACCAGCATGACTGGCAGGTTATGGGACATCTATATAAGTATAACATTGCATAGAGAAATGCAAACTAATAATTGGATGAATTAAATACTAAATAAGTCTTTATAATTATATAAATTTATTAAAATTGGGTAATAAATATTCATTTAAAAAGATCTAAATAGAAAGATAATTAGAGTTTTGATGACTCTATTTTAAAGACAGCCTTATAACATAGATATTAATCTTGAAATAATTAGATAAATAAAAACTTCTAAGTAGAGATATTCTCAATCAGATTATTGAAACAAACTAGAAGAAAAAGATATTAAAGTAATCTAATATACCAATGAACTAATTACAGTTTTACTAAACTATCTGAACTAGAATTTTGTTAAACAGATAGGAGTATATTAAAGTATTTTGAATATGTTGTAAAATAGATACTAGAGTCTATGTAAACTTTACAATAACATAATAATTTAATAATTAAGTTCTAATTATAAGTGTTGTTTCTGTTATCATAATATTAGATCAATTATAAAAATAGATATAAAAGTTTTCAAAAGATTTAGCTTAAAGATAAAATAATTTTAAGGTTAAAATAATGATCTAGGCATCTGGATATAACCCAGTAATGTTAATACAGGTTGCAGGTTCAAAGTGTTTAAAATAAAACACCCAAGTAAGAATGTTAGATATAGCAATTGTTAAAGAACCTTTAGACAGACTTTTTAAATAGATAATATAAAAAAGTTATATATATAATTAATTATATGCTCTTCTGTAATAGTTTACAGAATCACATTACCAAAAAGTCATTAATAAAAATCAAAAGACCAAAGAGGTTACCTTAACAAAAAAAATAAAATAAAAATAAAAAGTTTCATTGAAATGTATAACAAAATTTCATTTTCTTGAATAAATAAAATAATATTATTTTTCTTATAAGATATAGAAGATTAATTATATAGAAGTTGTATATAAAAAAAATTTTAAAAACAAAAAAATAAAATAAAACTAATCTTTAAGTAGCTTTTTTGTAAATCAGATACAATAGATAGTATTATTATTCAAATATTTTATTTCAAATATGAAATTAAAAATAATAAACTAGAATTTGTAAATCTAAATTTAAATAAAAAATTCCTTATATATGATACATGTTAAGCTTAAACAAAAAATGTAGAGAAAATAATAACCTCTTAAATAAAGATAATAAAAAACTAAATAAAATGTTAAAGCTAAATAATTTTGCAAATTATATTTACAATCTTTTTAAATTATATATAAATTTAAATAATTACAGAAATAATAAAGAAAATATTCATTTAGGTTTATATTTTTTATATACTATTAATATTTTTTCATTCAATGAATTATCAAAAAACATTAAAAAAATTATTAATAAATTAATAAATATTATTAGTAATATTAATAAATACTCTTGAATGTATATATATTATAATTTTTTATTATTTTAAATAAATTTATTATATATAAATTTTAATAATGTTATTTTAATTATCATAGATATAATAATAAATAAGATGGCAAAAAAACTACAAATATTTGATATTTTTGGTTATAATGAATAAATATGACAAAAAAACCTTACAAATATAATGATCCAAATAAATAAAAAAATCTACAAATAATAAAATGATATAATTGTGATGGTTGTATTAAAGTAAATATCAACTCAACAACTCAAGTTACTAATATTATAGTAGAATATAAAATTTGGCATCTAAAACCAAGTTATATAACAGTATCAAAAAATTAAATAGTACATTAAAGATAATATTGATTAATTACTATAGAAAGTTTATTCTTATTTAATAAATAAGAACATAAATATATTAATTATACAAAAACAAGTCTATTACTGATGGTCAACATTTGGAAGCAATAGATATATCAGACATAATGATGCTTTTAAATCTGTATTGATTTGAATTAAAAGGAAATATTATAAAATTATTGTAAATACAACAACACCTATTCAAGTAATTAAATTTTTAATAGATTTTCTTGATTATTTTAAACAATTAAATCTTAATATAAATAAATATAACATAGACACAACATGTATTTATAATTAATTTTTTATTTTATATATTTTATTTTATTTTATCATTATATAAATAATTAATTTAAGAGAATAACAATTCTAGTATAGTAGTTGAGTTGTTATTCTTCAAATGGCAGGTCTAAGATTCAAATCCCACCTATGATTAAATTTGAAAATTATATCTTCATTATAGTAACTATTTCCTGTTGATTGGTTGGCTTCATGTAGTTGTAACCCAGATATATCAAGTTGGGTCCTATTGAAATTAGAAGCTCAAAGCATCTATGCAAAATATAACATTACATATATATAGAAGAATGTATAACCAGTATTGTATAAGGCTTCAGTGCAAATTCATAATAAGACCATCAGCATAGAAAACTAAGAAACTAAAATGACAAAAACCTACTTGGAAATTCTTAAGTAAAGAGATAGCATGAACTTTTAATACTATTATCAAACCAGTTAAAGCCTACAAAACATTTTTATATAAACTAAAGGTTAAAACCAGACAACAAATATATATAGAAGAGTATATAACCAACCAGGTTACCAAACTCACTAGAGGAATAGAATATAGAAGTATATTATACTGAATCATCTGAATTAGTAGTCTGGTATAAGACTGCTAGTTCTGAGTTGTGGCTAGTAAGGAATAATAGAGAAAATGCAAAAAAGATAAGTACTGGAATTCTAGTAAACTTTACAAAAGTAGAAAAGTGTAGCATAGTAGTTAAACAGGTAACTCCTATGATTGCAAGTATTAGATAACTATAGTATATTACATAAAACTAGATTAGTATATATAGAACATAAAGGCTCTAGTAAGTTTCTTGTTAAGAATAAAGTAGTTCTAAGGGTACTGACCAGTATCAGAAAATTAGATAAGTGTAGCTTTGCAGATGTTCTTATTATATAAGAAGGATTGCATATACAAAAAGTTTAAATAGACAAAACTTCTAGTTGGCTTGCAGGTATAACATTTAGTGTAGAACTTATATAGTAATGTATAAGTGGACTACTTAAATTAGGTATCAAAAGTGCATATATGACTGGTTGTAACCTTTAATGTAAGGTAGCCTCTAGTGGTATGCTATGTTCTATATACTTGAATAAAAATGTCACATCCTAAAGATAAGAACTTTAATATTAAAAAAAATAATAATAATTAATTAATTTATTTTTTTATTTTTATATAGACAATATTAATAATTTAGAGTTTGAGCTATATGTATTTTATATTGAAGTTAACAGTTTTAGATAATCAATTGCATATCTTTTTCTTGAAAAGTAATAATAAATTAGAAAATAGAGTATAAATTTATATGGTTTTAATCTTTTTTAATAAAATAAAATTACAAAATATAATTTCAAAATTTTTATTAATAGACAAAGATTTTACTCAGATTTCTAAATTATGTTTTATATGACTAAATACTAAAATTTAATTGTGTTGTTGATATATAAAAAAGGCAATCAAACAATGATTAATATCCAATAGCTTTTTACAAATAATTGCTTATAAGTATAGTAACACTTATGAATATTTTTTTTTAGTTAATATAAATTTTATTTTATAACCACTAGCTATGCAATTTTTTGTTCTAAGAAGCTACATCATTCTGTTTGTAAATTAAATAAATAAATGTTTATATTTTTATTTGTTAATCCTAACATCTAACTTAACATTAACATGTTTACAAATTTGAGAACAATTAGTAAAAAAAATTTATTTTTTTTGCAAACATAATTTCTGCTTTTTTTTTGACTTTATCTCTAGAAAGAATAATACTGTACTGATTTATAAACTTTGTGAATGAGAGCTAATTGTGAAAATAATTTTTTTGTATTAAAAACAATAATATTTATTAAGTTATACTGAAAAGTAGAAATCTATAATTGAGGATGGCGATCCTAGTGTAGTGGTTGGGTTGTCATCCTCCAAGTGGCAGGTCTAAGGTTCAAATCCCACCTAT